AAGGAACCAAAGGTGGAGAACTTATGTAATATTCCTTCCTCCTCCTAAGATTCCCCACAACCACAATCTAAGAAGTGGGTTGGGCTGGGAGAGAGTGACTCAACCCTTTTTTCAAGGCTAAAATGGGACTAGAATTCAGAGTCTCTTGGTTTCTAGGCTAGCAATTTAAACACTACTTTGTTTAAAAAGGAGGAAGGAATGTTAAAATAACTTGTAAGAATTGCATGCGAAAACAAGGTTGGAGGAAACAAATTTGTAAAGCTGTAAGCATCCCAGATAACATTTTAGAATAATCTTCCATAGAATAACGCAAAAGACAAGTGAGGTTGTAGTAAATTACAATCCGAGATGGACCTGTTAGTAGGAAAAGGAGACTAGAATGGGCAGCAATACTTTGCAAGATGCATCAAACCTGAAGTCAAGATGTTTGTTATTTATTTGCACAAGGCGAGCATTCTTTTTATTTGGAAAATACTCGCTCCGGCGAGGTGAGCGGTCGGGCGTGACAAGGAGTGGCTGGGAGGGGGGGGGCATCTTAACCACTACTTTGTTCATATATGTATATATAAATATATAAATTCACTTCCAGCCTAGCCCCTTTCGTGGAGTTGTTTTTTTTTGTGGGGGGAAGCAAAGACGACCATGACACGTTTATTGAAAGACAGGGGCAACCAACAAGAAGCCTCAATCGATTACAGAGCTCCATTTATGTCTCTGCCCCGGATATCCCACCCCTTCAGGGATGTTGCGGAAGCCAAGCGTGTAACGCTAAGCCCCTCGCCTGGCGGAAAATTCGGAAGCCCACGTGACTCCACAAGAGGCGTGGTTTAAAGGAAGGTCACATTCTCCGCTGCGTCGTCACAGTTTCTTCCGGCGTTCTGCTTCCGGGGTTGTGCGGGGGAGGGTGGAGCCTCAATGCGGTCGCGGCTTTGGAATTAGCCGCTGAGGGTGACGACGAAGACGCTGCCGCCATTATGTCCGGCAATGGTGGCACCCTCGCCGCTGCTGCCGCGGCCCCCACCGCCGCCACTTCTCCTCCCGAACAGCCACCTCCCCCACCGCCGCCGCCTCCTCCGCCTCCCCCGCCACAGCCACCCCCGCCGCCGCCGCCGCCGGGAAGCTCCGCGGGCGCCGCCGAGCCAGAGCTGGTGTCGCTCATCCTGAATCGCCTCAAGAGTCAAGGCCTTTTCGACCAGTTCCGCCGAGATTGCCTGGCCGACGTGGACACCAAGGTGGGAAGTTGCGGGTCTTGGGGCCCATCCGCCCCGCCCCCCCGACGCCGCGGCCTATTATTGCTGCCCTGCCCCGTTTGCTCTCTTGTCCGAAAAACGACCGGCCAGTCGGTTTGAGCCCTTCCCGGAGGTTGCGATTTTCTTGGGAACGCTTTTCCCAGCCGTTGGACTTAAAGAGCCCCTACCTTAATTAGTCGAGTCCCGCACGCATCGATTTAGCGGCGATCACCTTTCCCACTCCCCACAAGATAGCCCCGCTTTTTCCTATATGAGCAGCTCTGACCTTAGCGGTGCTCCTACCCGCTTCACATGCCTAATTCTGAACTTGTTTAACTCTTTGCTCAATGGACAGCTGGCCTTTGCTGCCCAATTCTCCCAAAAGCATTTTTCAAGTCTGGATAAGATACTCATTGCAGGTTTGTTTTCTTAAAAAGAGAGAGAGAGAAAGAAAAAACTATTTAATCTAACTGAGATTCATCTAGTCCGAGTTTTCCCTATCGACAGCAATCGGGTTCAAAAGAAGAGTCTTTTCCTGATATGGCATCTTTGAAAAGGGAAATTATATTTCTCTGACTTAGCAATAGAAGTATCATTAATTGTGTATTAAATCAGCTAAACTAGAGAGAAGCATTTCTGTTTCACTATCCTCCACAGACATAGATTCAACTCTCTTTTTAAAAATTGGGCTGTTTTACATTTGGGTCCTTAGCATTGGATTTGGATGCAGAGTAGATAATTTCTGGGCTTTATTAACAGAAAATATTACAAAAGAGATTAAGTAAAAAACCATTTTATCAAGTTTTCTCATACTCTTTCCTAGATATATTTGAACAACTTGTCTACTGCCCAGATTCTAGTTTCAATATAATGCTGCCCTATTTTACAGACTAAATTTTAGAATTAGTGAAACACTGCAAATATTTTTACACATTTAGAGTATATATAATAGTATTTTCCGATGTATCATGAGCACTATTTTGGTTAATTATATATTGTCAGTGAAGTATCCATGTGCTGTTCTTATTCTATCACCCATTTGGTCCTGGTCTTGGAAGTTCCAGCTTAGTTATTGAGATTGAAAAATAGTAAATTTCCACAGAACTAAATTGCATGGGGGATGAATTAATTAGCTGTTGTGAACTGTAAAAATACAGACACCACAACCTTGGCAAAAATAGGACAATTGATATTACTCTTAATTTAAGAGTAAAAGTAAGTTTCTCTTAAATATTTTTACATCAAATTATAAACTATCTTGTGAATCACTTCATACAATGATTGGATAAAAATGCGTATGATTTAAGATAATTATCTGTTGGACAGAATTTATTGTTGGAATTACTGTGTTTCCCCGTGTTGACCTTCCGAAATAAGCACTTGGCCTTATTTTCGGGGATGTCTTTTTATTTTTGAGGTACAGGAGGCACTCATGGCTGCTACTATTTTAGCGCATGTGATTGGGCTTATTATCAGGGTGGTCTTATTTTCGGGGAAACAGGTTATTGTCCGAAAGATGCTTCTCAAAAGGCAACTGGATTTCTTGGGGTTTTTTTTTCTGAGTTCCTGAGACAAAATTAAAAAAAACTTGTTGGATGGGAAGCAAAATATTTTCAAGGGGAAAAAAACCCAGGAAAGTCCTGTGTTCTTTTGAAAAGCATATTTGAGACAACTATGACTTGGATGATTGAGAATTTCCTTAGATGTGTTGGAATTATTAAAATCATGAAATGATTTTCTTATTATAAAGAAGTAAAGAGAGAAGTAAAGTAAAGTAAAGAGAGAGAGAAACAATTGGAGCCTCATTTAACAAATTCTCAGTAGAGTTACTCTTTCTCAATATAATGGATTTATGATGGCCCTGTCTTTGTAAAAATAAGACTTTGGAGAAAAGATCTAGCTTTCTTTTCAAGTAAATAGCATTGGGCTTCTAATCACATTGTGCCTCCAAGTAGCATTCAGATATTACAATGTTTGGTAATTGAAATATTTGCCTCTATTTTTCAGAACTTTCAGCAATGAAGTTTTTTAAAAGTATGTTTTCTTAATCCGCAGTGGGGTTTTTTTTCTAGTTAAGCTTGGAATTATTACAGTGTATACTACTGTTTCTGTATTATTTTAAGCTAAGGTTTTTAAATGTTTGTCTCCACTGATAAGAATGCGAAGAAATATTATGCAAGGAGGCTTCACAAGGTATCTGTTTCTTTTTTAGCCTGCATATCAGAATTTAAGACAGCGGGTGGACAATTTTGTTTCCAACCATCTAGCAACTCATACATGGAGCCCTCATTTGAACAAGAACCAATTAAGAAATAACATCAGGCAGCAGGTTCTTAAGTAAGTTTTACAAATTGTTCTTCTTTATGATCAACTGATTTGACTGGAAATATGCAGGATAAAATGTGATTTGATATATGTAAATATTTGGAAGATCTTAGGCCAGGTGTCAGCAACCTGCCACTCTGGAGCTGCATGCGGCTCTTTGGGCCCTCTGCTGCGGCTTCCTGTCCTATCACTGCATGGCTTCACCCTTCCCTCCCTCACCTGGCCTGAGAAGGTACAGGTGATGGCGGGGGATGGAGAAGCAGCCAGGGCTGATTTTCCAGCACCTCACCCTTCTGGAGCTCCTTCCGGCCCTTGTTGTTGCTAGGCATGCCTTGGTCGCTTGGGGAGACGTGTAACCTGCTCTCTGCCCCAAAACACTGGACTGGACTGGCTCATCCGACGCAGGCCTCTCTAACATAAGGGCTAGAGGAGTGGGAATGGGATCTGGGAGGAGGGGATGTCGGAAATGGGGACAGGCCAGCAGCGCTCAGCCATGGTTTTAAGAGGTTCAGGGCAGCAGGAAAAGAGCTCGCCCCACCAAACCTTGCATGCCCATCCCGGGGTTCAGACTTAGAGAAAGCCCTCCTCAAAGACGCTCATCCGTCAGCCGATCTCCCCCTGTGTGTGTGTGTGTGTGTGTGTCGCATACTCTGTCTCTATGTCGCGTCTCTTCTCTCTTGGAAAGCTGCTGCTGGACCAAGCCAGCAAGCTTTCCTTGGGGTGCTTCACGACTCCTTTTATTTTTTATTTTTGGAAATCCGGGCTGGCTGAGGTACGATCAGTTCCCTTTGGGTGACCGTCCTCCTCTCCCCTCCTCCTCTTGTGACCCCCTGCTGGCCGTAGTGGGGCTGGGAGTGTATGCACATGCGGGAAGATCCTCTTTAAAGCGCAGCAAAGGCATGTGCGGGGCGGGGACTTGCTAAAGGAGGGTCTTAAAAGGACAGAAGAGGGCGTGGCTTCTCTCCTACACTAAGACCCCGGCCATTGCCTTGCCATACCGTTCCGCCCCCCCCCCCCAGCCCAAAGTGGCAGGAAGCGAAGGCTGCCTTACATGTAAATGTGGCATGAAGGCAGGTACATGGCCACTTCGCTCCTGCACTAAGTCTCCGGCGGCGACCCTCTTCCTCCCCCTTCCTTTTCCTCTTGTGACTTTCTGGCTGGCTGTGGTGGGGCCGGGAGGGTGCACATGTGCGGGGTGGAAAAGGAGGGGAATGAGGAAGGTCACCGGAGCCTTGGTGCAAGAGTAAAGCAGCTCTGTAACTGCCTTTATGCCACATTTGCGAGTAAGGTAGCCTTCGCTTCCTGACGCTTTGGGCTGGAGCTTGTGCCCTCCCAGGCTGAAGAGCTGCCTGGGGGAGGAAATGACATGACAAAGCAATGTCCAGACCCTTAGTGCAGGAGAGAAGCCACGTCCTATTAAGACCCTCTTTAAGCGAGCGGCCGCCTGCCCTGTGTGTGCCTTTGCTTTGGTGCTTGCTTGAGTAGGGTCTCCCCATGTGTGTGTACCCTCCCACCACAGCTGGCCAGTGGGTCACAAGAGGAGAAGGAGGGGAGAGGAGTTTGGTCGCCCAAAGAGAAGCTTCCTCTGCAGCTGGCGATCATTCCTCAGCCAGCCTGGATTGCCAAAAATAAAAAAATAAAAGGAGTAGTGAAGAGCCCCAAGGAGAGCTTGCTGGCTTGGCCAAGTTGCGACTTTCAGAGAGAGACAGAGACAGAGAGGGTGGGGAGGGGAGAGGAGGGGAGAGACACACCGTGATACAAAGAGAGTGGGGGAGAGAGTGAGGAAAATAGGGTGAGAGAGATACAGAGGCAGAGAAAGAAGGGGGAGAGGGGAAAATAGGGAGAGGGGGAGAGGGGGGAAGAAAGATACAGGGGTGAGTGACAGGTATAGGGAGAGGGACAGAGAGACAGATACAGAGAGGGGGAGAGAGGGACATAGAGAATGGTTTTGTGGCTGGGTAAGCGTGGCTAGGAGGTCATGTGACTTAAGTGGAAGTGAGTGACATTGAGTTTGCCTTGTCCACCCAGGTTTTGTGGCTCTCTGCAGGTTTTTTTTCCCTGTGGGAAATGGGTCCAAATGGCTGTTTGAATGTTTAAGGTTGTCTTAGTGGTTTGGATTCAAAAACTCCTACGTTTCATATTTTGAAATTCAATGTGAATGCATGAGGCTGCTATTCAAAATAGCCCTTAAGGACTGATAGTAAAAATTCACCATAGCAAATATATTTCATGTAGCAGTTCATGCATTATACTTAATGAGAATATAGGAGAATCAGTTCTTACTGAAACACCTTGTGTTTTATATATGAATGTCAGCTTTAAAAGGTTCTATCTAGATTTTTACATGCTTAAAAGAAATTAATATTGCCCTTCAAGTTTTTAATTATATGGAGGTTTTTTCCCTCCTAAATGATTTTTTCCACAGTTTGACTCATTGTATTTAACCAAATTGTAAGATTGCAGTATAGCAGCAGTCCCCAATCTTTACAACTCTACAGACTGGCAGCAGTGGAGGGGGGAGAGGGGATGGTTTTGCGCACATGCCCACCACTTGCACAAATGGAGCGTTGCATGCTTGCCCACCACTTGCACGGCCAGTTCTCAACAGACTGCAGCCCAGTACTGGGCCATGAACCAAGAGTTGCAGACCTCTGCAGTATAGTACTGCTGGTGAATGAAAACAGAACTTATTTATAGATTTTAATTATTTGTATCAACCTACTGTTATATCATTAAATTGCTTTTTCTGAAGTAACTGGGGTTGTTATAGTATCCGTTTTATAATCTTCATTAATTTGCTTTTTTTACTTGTAACCTATGGTCAATGATCTCCAATCTACTGGCCAGAGCTCCTCTATAAGGGAGATGAGCAGATTAGAAATAAGAAATATAAATAAATAAAATTTAAAAATCTCATTTTCTGGAATGATATAAGAACTCTTCCTTGAGCAGGGGATTGGATTCCCTTCCAGCCCCTTAATTCTATGATTCAATGATCCTGAAACAGTACTTTAAGGATATATTAAATGGGATAATGAAAATTTTAGAAAAGCAACAATAATACCTTAGCTAGGCCTGAAGAGCCATGGGGATTAATTTTTGAGTCTTAATTTTTTTTATTTCTGAATATAATTTGCAGAAATATTTATTTGTTGGAATTGTTCAGTTCAATAATGCGTGGCAGAAATAGATATCCTTGTCAACTACTACAGAAAGCAAAATTATTTTTATTTGTGGTGCTTCAGTCATAGTGATTTAAGGAAATGCAGGTTATTATGAACATCTTTTAGAAAAACTTAATGTGAAAGAAAATATGCAATATATTATACTTTATAAAGAGAATGGAAATATGCAAAAGTTCAGTGAGGGGAATCAGTCTCTTAACAAAAACCAATTTGTATTAATTTTTTGTTGCATTTTGAACTACATTATATTTTAAAGGAGAAATTTAGTGAGTCTAAAGTATAAGAATTATAAATTTTATAAAACCAGGATTTAAATTGTCTTAATTTAAATTGATCTATGTTAGGGTGTCAAACTCAAGGACTCTGTTTTCACTGGCAGAGGGCTAGCAAAACAAACTAAAAACAAAGCAAAAGGAGAAATGTTTCCCCTTTTGCATTTGAGCATGCAAGAAGGGGCAGGAAAGGAGAAGGGGAAAGAGGAAAGACAAAGAAAAAGGGAAGATGGGAAGAGAGCAAGTAAGGAAAAATAAGAAAAGAGGGGAAGGAAGGAGGAGGAAGGAAGGAGGGAGGGGGAAGGGAGATTATAATGAGAGTAAGGGAGGGTCCTGCCTTAGCACTTGGCCACCACATGTGCACCCAACATAAGTGACATTGAGCTGGCCACGATACCCACAAGGTCAAACACAAACCTGATGCGGACCTCTTAAGAAGAAGTTTAACGTTCCTGATCTATGTGAATGAATTGCCCAATATTTTGCACTGTTTTTCCTAGGATATCTGGGAGTTCTCTTGAATCTTTCATTATATTCTCTCATGATATATGCAAATAATGATTCTAATCTGCTTTATAATCTTGTTAAGATTACCAATAATATCCATAGAAGAAACTTAATATAAATTAGCATTAATATGTTCCCCTTCTTGCATAAATTCTTACATTGATTGTGTTAAAGTAATTGTGTTAGCTGTGATAGATAAATTATATTGTCATTTCATTTCAGGTCTGGAATGTTAGAATCTGGTATTGACAGAATCATTTCTCAAGTCGTGGACCCAAAGATCAACCACATATTCAGGCCACAGGTAGAGAAGGCTGTCCATGAGTTTTTAGTCACAATGAATCACCCAGAAGAGATCAATCCCAGCTTTGCCCTGCCTGAAGATAAATTAGAAGCTTCTGTTTTGCTGCAAGGTATTTCTTCTCTCTTCCCTTGGCAAAATGAATATGCTTTTAATATTTGGGTTTTAAAGAGGTGAGTGTAAGGAATCAAGAGTTGAAGTAATGCTCCTAATCACAGGCATACATTCAAATAATGTCATTGAAACTAATTTCCAAATTTATGTGCTTAAGGGAAAATTATTTATCAACAAAGACTTTGATACTACGGTACCTCTTTGCAGACATCCCAACCTAATTACATCTGTTCATCTGGATATAGTAATAGCTGGGTTTATTTTCTAGAGATAGCCTTCCTACTGAAAACTCTGGTTTATGGAAAGCTACTTCCAGCTGTCGCCATTGTCTCAATTTTCAGTCAAATTGTAATAATAATAATATTATATAATAATATATAAATAAGTAACGGAGTGAGCTCCTATTATTTGTCCCAGCATCTGCCAACCTAGCAGTTCAAAAGCATGTAAAAATGCGAGTAGAAAAATAGACCACCTTTGGTGGGAAGGTAACAGCATTCTGGGTGCCTTTGGCATTTAATCATGCCAGCCACATGACCATGGAGACATCTTTGGACAACACTGGCTCTTCAGCTTTGAAACAGAGATCAGCACCGCCCTCTAGAGTCGGGAATGACTAGCACATACAGTACTGTGCAAAGGTTTTAAGCAGTGTGAAAAAATGCTGTAAACAACAAATGCTTTCAAAAATGGAAGTGTAAAACATGAATGGTCATAAATGAACAAAATGCAGTGAATGAACAAAAGAGAAATCTAAATCAAATCAATGGTGTGACCACCCTTTGCCTTCAAAACAGCAGCAATTTTTCTAGGTACCACTTGTACAGTTTTTGAAGGAACTCGGC